GAAATGGCCCACAAATGTCCGTATGTATAAGTTCTAAGACGTCTGAAGTCCTATTGGCTTCAAATCTCCTTTTATTGGTTTGTTTTCCCTTAATACAATTGACACAAATGTCAAAATCTGTAAAGTCTAAGGGGTCGAGAATATCGTCGGACACAAGTCTCTCTATTCTCCGTTTGGAGATATGACCTAATCTCTTGTGCCACAACGTAGCTGAATTCTCATCGGTTAATTTTCTTTTCACACCACGTGTATTTATATGCAGAGATTCATTGAATGAAGCAATAGTATCTAGTAAATAAAGATTATCATAACCTGATAAAGAACCAGAACCAACCAATTTTGAATCATGAAACAAACTGAATTTTCCACTTCCAAATGAACAAGAATAACCGAATTTGTCCAAAACAGAAATAGAAATCAAATTTCGTCTAAAAGACGGAACAACAAGTGTCTCATCAAGATCCAAATAATATTCAGTCTTTAACAATAATCTAAATTTTCCAATTGCTTCAACTTCAACTGTCTTGCCGTCACCCACATAGATGTATCTTTCACCATCACTTGGTTTTCGGCAATGGAGGCAACCCTGCATGGACACACTGATGTGAGTTGTGGCACCAGAATCTATCCACCACGTGTGTCCAGGAACCAAAGTTAAATTAACCTCAGAACAAACCAAATTGAACAGCATACCTTTCTTAGCACGCCAAGCGTGGTAGTTGGCACACTGCTTCTTTGTATGCCCTTCAGCCTTACAAAAGAAACAACCTGAAGTGGTGTCAGAATTGACATCATTAGACACACTGGGTGTCGGTTGTTGTTTCTTTTGTGGGACTGTATTTGCAGCTTCCTTATCCTTATTTCTCTTTATTCCCTTGCCCTTATTTTTGGGAGTATAGGCAATATTAGAGCTTTCTGCCTTATCTTGCTTCAACCTTTCCTCTTCTTGGACACAGTATGAGATGAGCTCATTCAGAGACCAAGTCTCCTTCTGACAGTTATAGCTCACCTTAAACTGGTTAAATTGTCCCGGAAGAGATAACAAAACCAAATGCACTAGCAATCCCTCAGAGAGTTCAAGCTTAAGTGCTCTTAATTTTGAAGCAGTATGAGACATCTCCATAATGTATTCTCTAATATTACCTTTACCACCATACCTCATTGAGATAAGATTTGCTAAAAGCGTACCAATTTCAGCCTTTTCGTTCTTGACAAACCTTTTCTCAATATCTGCAAGGAATTCCTTAGCAGTAACGATATTTTCAGACATAGTGCCCCTGAATGCTTCCGGAATGGCTTTCTTTATGATCATCATACACATGCGATTCGATTTCTCCCACCTTCCAAAGTCCCTCTTTTCGTCTGAAGTACTGTTATCCGTAAGAGGAGGTGGAGAATCAGTCCTTATCGCAAGGTCGAGATCCATGACACCGAGAACTATTAAAAGATTCTCTTGCCATGCCTTAAAGTTTGAGCCATTTAGCATAGGAATGGAGTTGATGCTGGCAGTGATATTAGCAGAAGTAGACAT